GGAGATGGTTTGATAGTTCTTCTTTGGAGGAAAGAGGATTTGCAAGAGCTGAAGACCAGCCTGCTGAAAATTACAAGTTTCACACTTCAAATGCAAACCCATTTTTCAGGAAGCAAAGAAGTGAGAGAAAATAATTTGATTGGGAAACTGCTCTGTCACACTGATACCTGACAGTGGGCAAATTTTCTTTTATATAAGGATTTATTTTTTAATCTTAACATGATTTCTTAGCTTCGATTAACTGCTAGGTGATAAGAGAGCTTGGTTTTCAGTAGGAGACAAAATCTAAGACTTTTCACAATTAATTAGTTGAAGAATTCATTTATTCTGAAATGATCTGCCCTTGCCACTGAACTAGGACATCAAGTTTAATGCTTATCAAAATAAATAAAAGGCGGTGAGAACTATGAGGTGTACACAGTTGGGTTTAATAACATGGCTCAGGAAAAGTCTGGTAGCTCTTATTCCATAGCTGTGTAGATGCCTTTTAGGAAGTTTGTGAATTAAAGGCCAAGTAGGCGTCAAAATCTTCTTGGAAGACTGATCCTAAAGCTGAACTGTTTGCATGGACTTGGTCAAAGCTTAGGAGGCAATGCCATTTAGCTGTTTCATAGTTGGATTTTTCTGTTCTGTGTAGGAGAGAATTGGATTGACCTTTTACATCAGGAATAATATCAGAAGCTATTAACTGGCAAATAGATTAAAAGCACTTCAGAGAAGAAAAGCTAAATGAGAGGATGGAGTTTGCTTTGGAGAAATCTAAACTACATTCAAGTAGGAAAAATTAACACTTAAGCTTCTTGAGGGAAAGAGAGCATATTTATGATTTTTAAAGATTTCAAATTCACAAGAATGGAGAAGATGCTTCTGAGAATTACTGAAAGAAAAATGAAAGAGCATCACTCACTGTCAGGCTACAAGAAAAATTTTCAAGAAAAATATTATTGATGTTGTGTGCATTTTGTAACTGCACTAACTGCCATAGTAACTAAAGACAACATGCTGGAGCATGGTGAAAAATAGGGAGAGAAAGGAACATTTAAGAGCAATGGATCTTTTTTCAGGCACAAATGATGACATTGGATACTTGTTTCTTTCATTTCTTTGCAGCATCATCCAAAGATGAAATTTACCATTTCTATCTTGTAAGAACAAAAAATGAACTTCTGCTCTTTCACGTTACTTTTTTTCTCAATTGAATTAAATATGTTGATTTGTTTTGTTTTTGTTTTTGTTTTTTGTTTTTGTATTTTTGTTGTTTTGTTTTTGTTTGTTTTGTTTGTTTGTTTGTTTGTTTGTTTTGTTAATAATTTAATATTTTCTTTTGTATAATTTTGGGACTCAATGGAGTAACTCACTTGCAATTGACTCCCTTCTTGTTAAACCTTAATGGAAACAGAACACAGATTAGTGTGTTTTTTCTTCCTAGTTTTCAAGGGAAATGGGTGCATACAGTGTTTTACATCTGCTTGTGCATGCCTAACCTTATTAGGCCAGTAACAATGGGAAAAAAATCGTGGAGCCTGGCTCTATTGGGATTTAATGAAACATTTAGTATTAGTGCTAGCTAATACTAACTGCTGCTCTTTACCTTTCTGGCAACTTTGGTGTGTTGACCTTGGCCAGCCCCTCACCCTGCCCTTTTTTGGTCCTTTCCTCAGCAGTACAAGGGGGAAAATAGTGTGGGCAAGCCCACGGGTTGAGACAAAGACAGGAGCAGTTAATCTGTAAGTCACCAGTTACTGTCGCAGATAAGACAGATTCGTCTTGGGGGAAAAATTAAACAAATTTCCGGCCCAACACAGGGGGATGGGAACAGGGGGCTGCAGTCAGTCCATTGCACTTGGTGTCTGCTGCTCCTTCCTCCTCCTCACCCTGTGTCCCTGCTCCAGCCTGGAGCACCACCGGGAATCGTTAGCTGTAGCATTTGCTCTAATCTCTCACTGAATATCTCAGACAGTTAGGTAATCTTGGGAATTGATGAGATTGTGAGCAATTCCCTTTTTTATACTTTGCATTTCTGCCAAGACCAATAATATCTTAAGATATTATGAAGAATTTGCAATAATATAATTATTAATAACTAATATTAAGATATTGCAAGCATATATAAATGGGGGGAAATTCCTAAGTCTTTCAATCCTATTGTATTTATTTACAAGTAAAGAATTGCTTTTTAATGAAAGGTGTAAGAAAGTATTTTGTATGTTTTCCAAAGATATAATTTTGCTGTATAGTTTACTCTGGCATTGGCTTCTGATTTTCTTGGAGTAGGTAGATGACTGAGGAGGGAACAGGATTCTGTATATTTGTGGAATACAGCTGCTTAAGTTTAAAAAATGGAGGAGAAGGGAAGTAGTTTCCAAGATGCTGAACAGATGCTTTGGCTTTGTGATAAATGGTCTATGAATGCTGTCTGGAACATTTCACAAAGTGCTGTAAAACTAACATGTAGATAGATGTAGGCAAATTTGATGCTAAGTATTTTTAAATGATGAAAAATTAGGTTGAGAAAGTGGAGTACTATAAAATATGTTGATATGTTAAAAATGCATGTTGAAGCTTCGAAAGAAAGGCTATAGCAGATTCCCTTACTATAGAAATAAGATCTTTAAACACTTCTAGTTTATTTGTTGTAATTTGAGTTTGATTTTCATTTCCTTCCAATGGTTTTATCTTGAGAGAAGCATTTTTAAAAATCTGCAAAATTTGATTGTTTTACTCTTTCTTCATTCCTGCCCCCTCCCCCCCACAATTTACTTTCAGAAAATGTTGGAGGGTTTATCTTCTTCTGTGTCTTAGCTTCAGAAATATTAGAAGTAATTTTTTTTTTCTGGTAGGAAAGAATGAGTTGCTTTTTGTGTACTGCTTAAAAATATTTGCAAGATAAAGTAACAAAGGCAAAGAGGCAATTTAGATGGCCATGGACAATTAAGGCTACCAGTGTGGGAAGCAGTCTGTAATTTTTGGCTGAACTTTTTCAGTTTTCCAATGCTAATGTGGAAGGAAAAATCCTCAAATTGCTAATGTACAGCCTCCTCCTGCCACATGCATGGTATTTAGTAACAAAACTTTTGAAAATGTTATTCTCTGGTCTGATGATCAGGTGCTTATAAGAACATACGTATTAGTAAAATAGAGATTACAAACAGGCATGTTATTAAGTTTATTCTAGAGTCAAGGGGCATAAAAATTGCACACCAGTGGATGTGGTTTACAAACAATTTCTGAGGCAGTCATCAACTGATGCTAGATGATAATCTTTAAAGACTTAAAGTAACAGCAAACCTAAATAGCATAAGATTCCTTTGTGTTTTTATAAATGCCTATTAATGATGAAAAAATAACCAGGAATTGCTACTTTACCAAATTCTTCAATAGAAAAATAAATAATAGATTCTGTATATAATTCTGAATATGAACTGGTTGCTTATATTACATTATAGTAGTTTTCTTTAAACACTCCTTTAAAGATGACTACTAAAAATATAGATTTCAATGCACTGTGCTTTAATAAGAACAGTTTTCATTCTGCAATATTACTTCCTCTTTTTTTTTAAATGTGTTTTAGCACAGACTTGCTTTACAGGCTAGTAAATTAGCATCTCACACAGATGATTTAATCCATGTACATAAATTTTCATCTTTTCCTGAGCAACAGCTTGTGAACAATTTTCAGAATGCCTAATACAACTGTTTAGGAGACACTAGAACATGCTAATTCCTTGTTGTCCAAAAATCAAAGGATAAAATTTGATGTACAAAATGATAATAATTTATATGAACATACTTCATAGAAAGTTTTTCACCAGAATTCATGTACATACTCCCAGGACTTCTGAGAGACTACTCATTTTGGCAAATGTTCACAAATCCATTATTTTTTTAAGTTTAGGTTAATTTTTTTTCTCTATTTTTGATGGATTTAACCGGGACTTTCTTCACAAAAAAAGACTTTTTACTATGATGACCTTTAGAACTGAAAGTCAAAGGAAAATCTGTCAACAGGAGGATTCTGGAATCTCTAAGCAGATGGGTAGATAAATTTAAGAAACTTTCCTGTAAAAATGATTCAGTTCATATGTTGAATTGGATTTTCTCACTTGGTTGGAAAGGTCAGCCTGGCATACCCTCTCTAGCAAACTTGCTTCTGTGGGGTTCACTCACCTGGTCCAGAATTGTCACTCTTGATGAAATGGATCAACTCTAGGGTAGGTTTGATGGCAGCCTGTCTTTACCATCCATTCTGCAGAACAGCAGGACAGACTTGATTCATTATTACTGCCTATATAACATGTTGAAACATATGACTTCCTTTCTGCCTTTGTTGCTAGACAGGCACAGCCTATTTTGTCTTGTGCATATTTGTAATACATATTTACAAGCTGGACACTCTTCTAGCAGTAGAAACTTCTGTCATCCCCTTAAGTCCATTGGCAAATGGAGCAGCAAACAAAACTTTCCCAAAGAAATTTGGCTTGGTCTCCCAAGTCAGCTATTTCCATTGCTAATATATCTCCAATTCAAGCCTGCCTCTTTTTTTTGTGTGTAGAAAAGGGTGTGATAAAGCTGCAATGAGGAATGTGAACCTTTTTTTTTGTTTTGTTTTCAGAAAATCTGCCAAGCAAGTTGTGAGAATTTTGGCCTCAGTGGCCTCAGAATAATCATGGTCCTTAACTTCTTTTGTTAGTTTTTTCCCCATCCATCCCCACCCTATTTCCAAGTATCTGATCCTAAAACAAGAGAGAGAAAAGTTTGTAGGTGGAGGTATCTAGAAAACTCCTCAGAGATATGTGATATCTTCTTAGGTACTGCTTCAGTCATGTGTCTAGCCATTTAATAGCTTGTTGGATTTCATGCCACTTGAATTTTGAGGTTTATGGGATAAGAAAACCTATGCATTTCATCCTTTTTCCACAGTGAAGAATCAGATTCTTATTATTTATCCTTTTCCTTAATGCCACTTTTTTCCCCCCCTTTCCCACTCCCCACTTTCTTAGGATCGTATATGATAGTGATTTCATCAGACCATGACCCTGGGGAAAAGACTCGACTTCAGCTTCCAACAATGAAAGAAAACGATACTCACTGCATCGATTTCAGCTACCTCCTGTACAGCAAGAATGGAGGAAACCCAGGCACTTTGAACATCCTCGTTAAGGTGAACAAAGGACCACTGGCTAATCCCATCTGGAATGTCACTGGCTCCACTGGCAAAGACTGGCTTCGAGCAGAGTTGGCTGTCAGCACTTTCTGGCCCAATGAGTATCAGGTAAACTTGCAATAAATTCACACCACTTTATAATATTCACTGAGTACACTTTGTGTTGTTTTGATCTGTTCTGGTGAAGTATTCTCCCAGTGTCCTCAAATGAAATGTTCCATTCACTATAAATAATTGTATGGGAATGCATATTTTTTTATACCAAGTGATTGTCCAAAGTTATCTGTTATTGTATAATAGAAAAAAAAAATAGCTGGAAAAAAGCCTTGTTAAAAGAAATGGTAAGGTTAAAATCCAGGAACATCAAAAATTATAAACTCCCAGAAATAAATTGCCTGTGCAACTGTAATTTGTACTTGTCTTCCCTCCTCTTTTGTGTATGCTTGTGTTACCATGTCTAATTACATGACCGTAAACTGTGTTTTTTTCCAGATGACATTTGCTTCATTTGCTGTGCAGGCAGAATGGTGCTCACCTAATGAGCAGCTGTTCAGGATGTGTTTTTTTTTCCTGTTTGCTTGCTATGGGACAAAACCACCTGCAGCATAGGCCTGTTGTTTGGAGGGAAAATTTGTTTTGTTATTACTAGATGCTGTTATTTGATTTGTTTGATTAACCTGAGAAAGTACCTGCAGCTGTTTTACTCAGTGGGTATTTGGTGTGAAGGATGAATCTCATACATGGGCATTTTTGTTCTGGCTGTAGGAGTGGGAAGAGTTGGATTACATGTGCTCACCTGAATTGTTACACCATGAGGTGTTAATGTGCTTACAGGCCCCTATCTAAATATTCCTCATTAGTGCTCTTGCAAATAGTTTGGATATCCAGAATACTTAAACGAAGGAAAGTGGCTGCTTTTTTAAGGTTTTGTTGAATAGTGGTATTGTAGGAATGTATCTTAAAAGCTCTTTTATCTAAAGTTTATTGTGATTCCCCACTATCAAAATAACATCCATAAACAAGCTTCAGTGCAAGTAGCCTTACAAATATGGTGAAAATTATGTAATTTGCTATCATTTTATGGAGTTTTTTTGAGTTTTGTTTTGCTGGCTTTAATGTTTTTATTTATCAAGAAATTTCACCTACCAGTGGCATTGAAGCTGAGTAAAATTTGATTTCAAATTCTGAAGTCTGGTTCCAAAAAGCTTGGCTTTTGAGGAGGTGCTTTATTAACCCTTTTCATGTTGCTGGAAAGTACCATTTGGTGTCCTTAAACAAACCTCGGGAGCCTTTTATAACAGAACAGTAGTGATCAAGCATAGCAGCATTCTATGCAGTAAATCAGGTTTCTGCTGACAGATGGCCAGGCTTGACAATGAGATTGGTGGTTGGGGCCTTATCTTAGCAACGTGGGCATTTTTCACCTACGTTATAACCTTCACATTATCTCTCCACAGACTCTGCTTAAATTCATTCCTTCCCTTGCTTGGTCATCCAACAGAATATTGAAATCAGGTGTAACCTAGTTTAAGTTTAAATTAAGCATAAGCCTGGAGTAGAACTGGAAGACTGCTAATGCAACCTGCTGTGATTTGTGGCCAGCTGCACAATTGCTTTTATGAACAGGGAGGGAAATCTGCATGCTATCTATACACAGCTGCTTGTTTGCACAAGCAGGGTTGGTATTTTTGTGGTTTTGGTTCCTTCAGCTCTCAAGGTTCACATTCAACATTGCTCCTGATAGATTTTTGTTTGGTTGTTTTTTTTTTTTTTTAAATTTGTTTTTTTCCCCTTAGTTTTAAGTTGAGTTATGCTTTGGAATGGGAATATTTTTTCATTTTTCGCATGAGTTCCACGCTGTACAGTTGTAGATTATGATTTTGGCACTTTTATCTACCTGTTGGTCAATGAGTTTAGCTAGCACTGAGGAAACTAAGCAATTATTTATTATAGAATATAATAACAAGATGGAAGTGGTTCTTTATTAACCTGGGAATTGGATCCTTGCCTGTACAAGCAGGGTGACTGCTAGAGATCACTGCCTAGCCCAGTTGTTTGCATGTACTTTGTTACAATCAGGTCAACTTCACTGCCATTTCCTTCTCTTTTAAGTGAAGGAGGAGAGTAGAGATTACCTGGGGCTGAATAGCACAGGTTGCACTCTTAAGGAAGTCTGGTGTGGTGACTTGGAGGTTAGCAGCATGGCCAAGGGAGTGTGAGTGTTGCACCTTGGCTAATTAGCTCCTAAACTGCATTTCTGTACTCTGCTGTGCTCTGTTGAAACATTACTGCTTCCTGTTCAAAACTAACAGAGTGTTTCTACATGTCACTCTAGTAGATAATATTAATTCAGTTTATGCATTTTTGGATGGATTTAACACTTCCTTTTACTCACAGGAATATATTTTTTAAATAATCAATTTCCATAACTTTCTTTTGCTGTATTCTGATGGGCAATTATTTATATACTTATTTTCTTTACTTTTCAAAACATAGTACAGTTTATTATAATAGCTTTACTGGATAAAACTTTTTGTCTAGTTTTGTACCCTGTCTCTGCTGCAGATAGCAGTGGAAGCTTGTAGAAGAGTTTAGGAACAGGAGAAACTCATGGTCATGCCTCCCCCAGAACACACTTCCAGTCTTGAGCATATATGTGGTTCAAGAGCTTTGAGATTAAGAACCTAAGTGATGCCTTTTTGTATTCCTGATAGTAATTTTCTTTTCTGCAATGATTTAAGCTTCTAGTGTCTACAGTATATATGACAAGGAATTCTGATGTTAATCCATGTTAGGGCTGCTCCTGGGGGTTTCTCCAAGCCTGAGGCCTGTAATTCTTCAGTTGTCACATTTTGCACTTGGGGAGTTTCAGAAGTCCTGTAATGATACAATCTGTCTCCTGTCTCCTGCTAGCAAGGCATCTGCAACCACTGCTCTGCTTGTTTAACATGTGGATGAACTCTCGAAGAAATAGGGTTTGATTAGAGAATCCCTTGGGATCAAGGTTGATTTGATTTTGGTACTTGTTAGTTCTGGAATTTTTTTTTATCACTCTGTTGGAAATATGCTACCTTTGACCTGTCTCAAGTTTGCTTCAAAGGAAAAATATTTTGGGATTTTTGTTGTTCAAACTTTGTAAGTGACTAGGAGTTCTATCTCATTGTTTTCTTTGTTGGTTACTGTAATGAATTTATTTTAATTGAGATGTTTATTCCTTTATTTTAATTGAGATGTTTATTCCTGTCTGGATGAATTGTTTTGTCTAAGGCTTCTGTTCATTTCCCCAAGTTCTCTCCTGCTTTGCACAGTAGGGGTTATCTGACTGCTGAGGGCTGCCTCTTCCTTTCTGCCTCTGTCACAGTCATTTTTCCACTTCCCTTGCTACCTATGTCATTGCTTTTTAGTTTGGATTTGTCTATTTGTGGACAGTTTGATTTTTGTTTTTTTTTTAAATACTGTCTCCTAAAAGTCCTTGTTAGCTATTATTTGTATGGTCTCCCCCTCCCCCTCAGCAGATTTGTTTTGCTTCTACAGGATCACATCTGTGCTCGCTCACATGTGAGATCCACTGTAATGTGAACCATGGGCTTTTCAGTTTTGGTTTTATATTAAGTTTATATCTCATGTTTATATCAGAAACTGGTAAATAAACTCTTGACTTGGAACTGTAAATTTCAAACTTGTAAAACACTACTTGGTTTCTTTAGGTTCTTTAAAAATTCACTATACAGTAACGGTGCTCTGTACTTTAGCAAATGTGCTGGCTGGGATACTGGCTTCATAGCAGTGACGTTGCACCTGAAAGTATAGCTGCCAAAGTAAAAATATTGAACTGTATTGAACAAAAGGTCTCTTATCAGTTCAGAAATGCTGCAGGAAAACTCTGGAAAACCAAATAATTTTCTTGCAGAATTGTGAATCCTGATTTCGATAATTTGTTCATTATTATAATACTTATGATTTATAGGATTTGCAAAACTTTAAATTACTCAAAGATCTTGGAAAATTACTTTTCTTTATGATCTTGAAAGGTCTTGAAACTGTAATAGAAGTATAACAGGAGGATGGTAGACTGAAGTTTGAGTAATGGTGTGTACAGTTGGGCCATATGCCACATAAGGTAGGAAACAGATTTCATGTGAAATATGAGAATTTGTTGCCTTTTTGGATATGAGATCACTATTCTGAACTTGTAGACATGTGAGACTCTAAACAAGCTGCATGCATAAAAATTTGGGAAGACGGGGTTAGGTGTGATTTAGTCATTTGATATAGCTCAGGAAGGAAAGCCACTAGTGAAATGGAAAGTACCTGTGTGAGCTGTGTAGAACTGAGTTATAAGCTAACTTTAGAAGCAACTCAGCCTTCCAAACATCAGCTTCCTATTTATAGGGCCAATGTTATTTTTTTATATATGGACTTTACCCTTTAAATACTATCTAACATCAAGAAAGTATAAAAATCTCAAAAAAAAAATCTGCAACGTTCAAAAGAACTGATATTTTCATAGGCCCTTATTTAAAATGTTTTAGAATACTGAAAATTACTGATAATAATACAAAAGATGCACTTTATAGATCAAACTTGGAGCTAGTGTAAGTTTTTTGACTAGTTAGGTAAGAATGTAATGTGGAAAGTGCTTTATCTGAAAAATTTGATCAACACTGATGAGCAGTTAATATTACTACTGATAATCAGTTAATAGTACAACTCTGTATAAGTCTTGGATGTTCAGTTGCAAGACAGTGAAAATTGTCTGATGGAAATCTCAACATGAGGAGGAGTTCGGGGCAGAGGAGAGCAGTCTGTAACTGTGAGAGAGGCAGTGCTAAGTTATCTGGCCTGGGAAAAGACCCACTTTAGAGGAATACGATAGAGTCCTGCAAAACCCGCACTTATATGAAGGGGAATCTTCTTCCAGTTCAAGATTTAGAGGCCTTTTAGAGTTCTGGTGGGTAAACCAGACTGAAAAAAGTGAATGGAAGCTGGTCACACTGCAGGCTTTAACCCATGAATGTGCCTGACAGAAATAGCTGCTGTGGATGCCCAGCCCTCTCCACCCCCCAAGTGGATCTGTGCTTAACTTTTTTTCTGGATTCCTAACTGTT